CCCTCCCTTCCTTCCCACCCCCGTGGGAGGGGGCGCGGGGGTGTCCCCCCTCAGCCAGGTGTCCCCCCGCTGTCCCCAGGTTCGGGCCGCCGCTGGTGCTGCGGGAGGAGCGGGGCGTCTCCTGGGAGCAGCTCCAGCAGAGCATCCTGGCCCAGCTGCAGGCGCTGCTGCGGGGCGACGTGCAGGCGCAGGTGAGCTGGAGGGGGGACGCCGCTGTCCCCTCTCGGGGATGCGCTCGGCCGGGGCTGCTGGCACCTGCTGCCACCGTGGCCACAGTGGGGGGGGTAGACCTGTGGGTGGCCGCGGTGTCCCCGTGGGTGGCCGTGGTGGCACCATCACTGGCTGTGGTGCCCCCATGGGTGGCCACGGTGCCCCCATGGGTGGCCACAGTGGGGCCTTGGGTGGCCATGGTGTCGCCTGGATGGCCACGGTGGAGCCCTGGGTGGCCGCGGTGTCCCCATGGGTGGCCACGGTGGAGCCGTGGGTGGCCGTGGTGTCTCCTGGATGGCCACGGTGGAGCCATGGGTGGCTGTGGTGGCACCATCACTGGCTGTGGTGTCCCCATGGGTGACCATGGTGGAGCTGTGCTCGGTTGCAGGGTCACTGTGGGTGGCCAGCGGTGTCACTGTGGGTGGTTGTGGTGGCCCTGGGGGTGGCTGTGTTGATGCTGGTGGCTGATGGGTCACCAGGGGTGGCTATGCTGGCCCTGTGCGTGGTCATATTCGCACTGCAGGCAGTCAGCAGTGTCACCATGGGTGGCCACAGTGTCACTGTGGGTGGCAGTGGTCTCCCTGTGGGTGGTCACGTTGTCATTGCAGGTGGCCAATGCTGTCAGCATGGGTGGCCATAGCGTCACCGTGGATGGCCACAGTGCCACCCGCCTCCCATGGCAGAGCCGCCCCAGCCCAGCCACCCTCCGCAGTACCCAGGTGCCACCATCCCACAGGCGCTGGGGTCCCCATGCTGCCCCTTTGCCCCTCCAGCCACACCACAGCCAGCGGGATGGGTCATCCCCCAGCCCTGTGTCCCCGTCCCCACGGGTGTCCCCTGCCAGCCTGGCCACGGGGACCAAAGAAATCTGATTTTGGGGGCTTTTTTTTGTCCTGTGTCACAATGCACGGCTCCCCCCAGGTGCTTCTGGAGAGCAGGGGGGGGCTCTGCCCCCCAACCAGCCCCACAGCCCCCTCTCCCCTTGCAGGGCGCGGGAGCCCTCTTCCGCATCCGCCTGGCCGGGGGCTCGGCCCCCTGCACCTACCTGTCCCCGCAGGACCCCCGCCCTCTCTGCCACCCCGCCGTTGACAGGTAAGGGCACTGCAGGGGCAGGATTGTCCCCAGACTGTCCCCTTGTTCCCTGGGGGTGGTCAGTGGTGACACCGTGGTCACAGTGTTCCTGTGGGAGGCCGTGGTGTCCCTGTGTGTGGTTGCGTTGGCACCATGGGTGGCCAAAGGCGTCCCTGTGGCTGACCATGGTGGCACCATCGGGGTGGCCAGTGGTGTCACCATGGGTGGCCATCGTGGTGGGATGGTCCCCGGGATTGGTGGGTCCCCAGCCCCATGTCCCCACCGTGGGTGCTACATGGGGAGGTGGTGGCTGTCCATGCCTGGCACCGCAGGGTGACAAGGGGGTGGCCCCATGGGGACAGGGGGTTTTGGGGGACATCTTGCCTCGTCCTTGCCTCCCCAGAGCCCTGCAGCTGAGCGGGACAGGTGGCCCTCCCCACGTGAAGCTGACGGTGGAGTGGGACGTGAGCACCAAAGAGCGGTGAGTCCCATGTACCCAGGGGTGGGTGGGGACACCCCAGTACTCAGGTCACCCTCCCTGACACCCCCCCCCGCGGTGTCATGTCACTGCCCCCCCGCCCTGCCGCAGCCTTTTCGGCAACATCCAGGAGGAGGTGGTGCAGGATGCAGAGAGCGTGCGGCTGCAGCAGCAAGCGCACCGGCAGCAGCACAGCTGCACGCTGGATGAGTGTTTCCAGCTCTACACCAAGGAGGAGCAGGTACCAAGCACCCCGCCAGCCACGTGGGCAGCGGGCACCCTGCCCACACCCTGCCCACACCCGGCAGAGCTGCTGCCGAGGGCAACCTCTGCCCACGGCATGGCAGCTCTTGGCTTTTGCGGTGCTGGGGGTGGCTTTAGAGGTGGCGGGGGGGTGTTGGGGAGGGAGGTGGCCATGGCCCGTGGTGTCCCCAGCTGGCCCCGGATGACGCCTGGCGCTGCCCGCACTGCAAGGTGCCCCAGCAGGGCACGGTGAAGCTGAGCCTCTGGACGCTGCCCGACATCCTCATCATCCACCTCAAGCGCTTTCGCCAGGTGGCTGAGCACCGGCACAAACTCACCACGCTGGTGAAGTTCCCCCTGCGGGGTCTCGACATGGCCCCCCACATGGCGCAGCGGAGCCAGGCTGGCGGGCAGCTGTTGGGGCGCTGGGCGCCCTGGCAGCCCCCCCTCTGCCTGCCCCCAAGTTGCCCCCGCGACTACCTCTACGACCTCTACGCTGTCTGCAACCACCATGGCAGCATGCAGGGCGGCCACTACACTGGTGAGTGTTGGGAGAGTGTGGGGGGGGCTCAGGGTGTGGAAGCAGGATGGGGGTATGCCATGGGGCAAGGTGTTGGGGGGGTGCTGTGGGGCACAGTATGGAGCTTAGGGGCACTGCAGGGGGTATGCCGTGGGGTACAGCATGAGGTTGGGGGGCACTGGAGGGGGATGTGCCATGGGGCACAGCATGGGGTGCATAGGGCATTGCAGAGGGTTATGGTACGGGGCAAGGCGCGGGGCTGTGGAGGCAGGTGCGGGGGGTATGCCACGGGGCACAGCACAGGGGACCCGGGGCGCAGGGGACGCGCAGGATGGCGTTGCAGCCATGCCAGGGCAGGCGTGGCACTGGGGCGTGCCCCCCAACAGCATCCTGCACCCCCAGGCTGTCCCCACACCATGGGGCTCATGCTCCCCGCTGCACCCTAGGGTTGGGGGGGCCAGGGCAGAGCCCGTGGCCCCACCTCACCCCCTGTGCCACCCCCCCCCATCCCCAGCCTACTGCTGCAACGCCCTGGACGGGCGGTGGTACAGCTACGACGACAGCAGGGTGGAGGGGGTGCAGGAGGCGGAGGTGAGCACCCGCAGCGCCTACATCCTCTTCTACCAGCGCCGCAACGCCGTGCCCGCATGGTCGGCCAGCAGCTCCGTCAGGGGTGAGCACCCCCACCTCCCTGCCTGCCTGCGCCCCGACAGCGCCCGGGCACCCCGAGGTCACCGCCCCAGGCACGCACGGCACGGCCGAGCGCACGCACGGGCACGCAGAGTACGGTACACACACGTGCAGCAGAGCCGAACGCGTGTGCGTTCAGCACGTGCACACGCAGTGTGGGGTGTGCACACAGAGCACAGCTGCGTATGCACGCAGGCACGTGGACACGCATGCACACCCATGCGTGGACAGCAGGGCAGGCGGGCACGTACACCCACACAGAGCACAGCTGCGTGCACGCGAAGACATGCATGCACACCTGTGCATGGACAGTATGGCAGGCATATAGGCACACAGCATAGCTAAGCGTGCACACGCATGCCTGTGCACGCTGGCACACAGCGTTGTGTGCGCACAGCACAGCCAAATGCACACACTTGCAGGCAGGTGCACGAGCAGTGCGGTGGGTGCACGTGCACAGTCACTGGTGGCACAGCTGAGTGCACATGCCTGCACGCGATATGGTATGTGCATATGCAGCAGAGCCACATGCGTGTATGTTCAGCACACGCACAGGCAGCATAGTGTGTGCACACAGCACAGCTGCATGTACGGGAACGTGCATGCACACCCATGCATGGGCAGTACAGCAGGCAGGTGCACACACATACAGCATAGCCAAGTGTGCACGTGCATGCCGTGCATGTCGACATGGCGTTGTGCACGTACAGCACAGCCACGTGCACACGTGCACGAACAGGCGCGTGTGCACACACTCACATGGCCCAGCCAAGGGCACACACACACGTGCGTGCCGGTGCACAGCGTGGCGGGCACGCAGTCACACAGCACAGCTGGCGCGTGCGGCGTTGCAGGTTCGCGCGCACCCGTGTCCTTGCAACTGCAGCCACGCAGCACGCGGCGCCACGCAGCACGCGGCACCACGCTCGCTCCCCCCGCAGCCCCGCGCTCCCCCCGTTGCCGAGCGCTCTGGGGTGCGG